CTTGTTGACAACAGTCTTGTCCAAGGGGATATCAACAGAGTACCTGGTCGGCATGAGGTGGTTGTAGTTATACACTTTCACAAAGGATTTGACCTTGGATCGCTTGGCGATTTTCTTCTTGCCCATGGCAGCTGTCACTTTTCGGGGATAGTGGTCAATCCCAGCCACCAGGGCATGGCTGTAAGGCCGGTCTGAGGTGCCATCATCAATGTTCTTCACGATGACGGCTTTGTGTCCGGAGTAGCGTCCAGCCAGGACCAGCACCACCTTCCCGGGTTTCATGAACTTGCCCATTTCTACAGCAAGGAGCCACAGTTTAAAGATTTTTATTTATCTTTTGTAGGAGTGTTTTGCCTACATATATGTGAGTGTGTCTACCAGTTGCAAATGGTTGTGAGCTGCCTGTGTTTGCTAGGAACCAATCCCAGGTCATCTGAAAGAGCAGCAAGTGTTCTTAACTGCTGAGCCTTCTCTTTCTAGCTTCAGGTCATATAAGTTAAAACTATTCTCAAAGCTCCAGTTGCCAAAGGGAACAAATACAGAAGTATGGTTCATTTTCTGTTATTAAAGTATTATTCCAGTGAAGTCTTTTTAATACACTTTCCTAGTTCATTTCCTATGCTGTGACAATCTTTTTTTGTTATGATTTTTCTTATTTTACTCATGGAGGGATTGGTGCCATTTATTTTCCTTTGGATGTATGGGGATAACTTGTTACTTTTCATTTCTTGTAAAACTATTCAATCATTTTATGTAAGGAAGTTGGGATGGATAAAAAGCCAATCCTACCATATCCATCATGTTTGTTTCTCTTCTTGTATTTGAGATACTAGATTTTCTTGGACTGTTATTTACTAGAAGGAGCTGATATATGCATTCATGCTTTATATTTATATATACTTTGCAGCACAAATTTAGTTGTATTAAAAGTTAACTTCTATCATTAGTCATCATCCGGTTGCACTATAACAGAATTTCAGACCTTTGACAATTGAGGGATGGGTTCAGAATAGTAATCTCAGCTTAGATGAGAGCAACGTGCATATCTCATCCCTGACTTTTATGCTTTCCCCACTTGTGAAAACTACCCAGTTCCTAAGAGCTATAAGCTGTTTTTCGAAAATAGCCATACCTTTAACATTGACTTTAAGCACATCTGATCTGATGTCCTGTAGTTGCTGTGTGCACATACTCATGTATGTGTGCAGAACACACAGAAAACATACTATTACCTACAGGGTAACTAGTATCAGAGAAGGGATCTTTGACTTAATGAGACACTAACTTTTTGGCTTTATGAAATTACTTTAAAAATATAAATGTACTATACTCTAGAAATATGAAATAAAGCAAACATCTATTTAGGGTTGTTTTTTTTGGTTTTTTCGAGACAGGGTTACTCTGTGTAGCCCTGGCTGTCCTGGAACTCACTCTGTAGATCAGGCTGGCCTCAAACTCAGAAATCCACCTGCCTCTGCCTCCCATGTGCTGGATTTAAAGGCGTACACCACCACTGCCCGGCTAGTTTTTTTTTTTTTTTTTTTTTTAATATAAGATATTACTGTTTTATCTTAGGAATGCATGTAGTAGTCTTGATTTTAATAATAATGTTAATCTGTGTTTTGAAAGCAAGTCTATAATAGAAAACTAGGAATAGAACATAGTCTTAAGCACTTGGTTTTGGCATGCTTAAGGTCCTGAATTTATTCCCCAGGAGTGAAGAGGGGAAAACTTAGGAACTAGGATGGTTATGAGAATAAACAGAATAGAAATATAAAAACATATTAGCTGACAGCACTACTTTGTGTTGTTGTGGGGTTTTTTTTATTGTTTTTTAGTTAGTTAGTTAGTTAGTTAGTTTGTTTGTTTGTTTGTTTGTTTGTTTTCCTTTGAAAAAGTTTCTTTTTGTAGCTCTAGCTATCCTGGAATTCGTTCTGTAGACTGGGCTGGGTTCTAACTCAGAGATCCACCTGTCTCTGCCTTATGAGTGCTAGGATTAAAGTTGTGTGCTACTACTCTGCTCATAAATAGTTTTAATTTAAATCAAATGTAGTTTTACAGAAGTTTAAGACAGGGTTGCACAGTGTACAAGTGTTCCCAGAACTCTCTAGGTATTCCAAGCTGACTTCATATTTCCACTCTTATAGCTGTAAGTCATATCTTGCTATGTTTTGTTTTATTGTTCACAGAGATCAGTGGAAGCAACACACAAAATGTTTCTCTAGTGTTGAATGTTGTTTTTAAGTACCATCTCTTTTTAAAAAATAATTGATTTTTATTTTGTGTTCATAGGTGTTTTGCTACCATGTATGTCTGTGTTGAGGGTGTTTGATCCCTTGGAGTTAGAAGAAGTTGTGAGCCTTTCTCCAAAAATAAGATGCTAGGGCTGGAGAGATGGCTCAGAGGTTAAGAGCACTGGCTATTCTTCCAGAGGACTGTGGTTTAGTTCCCAGCACTGACATGGCAGCTCACAACTCTCTTGAAAAATAAATACTTTGTTGTTTAAGATTGACTTGCATATACTATGTGATCTAATCAAAAGATAATTAGTTCTGAAAATAAAATTTGGGTTTGTTCTTGGGTCTGTTCCAGTCTAGCTTGTTTCTTTTCTCAAAATAATTTAGTCTTTTAATATGTAAATAAAGGTAATAACATAACAGTCAATATGTATGGTATCTTTGTATAAAAAATGTTAAAAAATATATATTTGAAAAAATGTAATGTTGCAAATCCAGTTATCTAGATCTAGTTATCTCTGGAAATAGAATTTCAGGAGTTTGGAGTAGAAAATAGAACTTACCTAACTTTAGAGGATTATTAGAAAAGTTGATCAAAATCTTGTCAAACCTAGTATAGATTTAGGCACATAGAACAACTTACTTGTTAATAACTTATAGAAGGAAATAGTAAGAGAGAGAGGTTTTTCATCTCGTGTTTACATCTTGTTTGCTCTTTGAAGTTTCATAGATGCTAAGACATAAGTTTAGCCCTCAGTGGTGGGTGCTGTAATTGAGTTGGCTTAGTGACAGGTTATGTTTCTGTTTGTTAGAAAAGGCATGTGCCTTAGGGAAGAACCTTCTAGGTAATAAGTCTTGATTATTACAGATAGCTTTATTATCTTTTTTTCCAGACAGTGAAGTATGATTCTTAGATTTTTTTTTAGAGCTGTTCTGAATGTTTTGTTTTTTGATAACCAGGTAGTTCTTAGAAGTGAGAATTTTTGTTAGGAGATTTTTATAAGTCATTAGAAAAACCAGTTGAATATTAATACATTAACTTATATTTTATGTTCCCTGTAATTTAAAATTTGGTTCACTGACCAAATAAACACATTAACAACACATGCTGATAGTTATGTAAAGAAAGTAGAACCCTCATGCATTACTACTGGAATTGTAATCATTTCATAAGACAACTTGGCAGTTTCTCAAAAAAAAAAAAATTAAGCATGGAATTATTATAAGACTTTACAGTTTCTCTCCTGGATCGAACTCAAGAACTTGGAGGGTGGGGAGATCATGGCTTACAAACCTGGAATTCATGATCCTAAAACACAAGATTTTTTGTGTGTGTTTTAATTTTTTTTCATGCCATATATTTTGATCATATTCTATCTCCCAACTCCTCCCAGCTCCTCCAACAGTCCCTTCCCACCCAACTTCATGTTCATCCTCTCCCCCCAACTCAAAAAAGACAAAAATGCAAAGGTCAAAGCAAACAAGCCCAGTAAGACAAAACAATGCAGAAAGCGAGGAAACAAAATATGGAGTCCCACAGAAGGAAGGAGAGCAGGAAAGAATGTTTGAGAAATTAAACCTCACAAATGGTACACACCTGTAATCTCAGGGCTATTTCCAGGAGATTACCAGACTACAGGTGAGATCTAGACTTCAGTGTAAAACTGCTGAAGAAAAAAAAAAGGCAGAGAGACTCTTACTTTGAAGGTATACATACATAACTAAGGAGAATGTTTTCAAAATATTGTTCTATTCTTTTTTTTTAATGATGTATTTATTTTATTTCCATTGTTTTGCTTGCATGTTTATGTAAGGTATTTGGATTTCCAGGAACTGGAGTTACAGACAATTGTGAACTTCTGTGTAGGTGCTATGAGTTGAAAATGGGCCATTGAAGACCCACGGGTCCAAGCAGTATTCTTAATCATTGAGCCATCTCTCAAGCCCCCACAACTTTGTTCTTAATTGATAAAATGTGGATAATTTGCCAGTTGGTAAACATAAACAAAATGTGACATATACATACAATAATTATTCAGATGTTCACACACACACACACACCCTCTTTTTTTTAAAAAAAAAAAAAAGTTAGGCTGGAGAGATGTCTCAATGGAGTATGGCCTGCTTTTCCAGAGGTCCTAGGTTTGATTCTCAGCAACCCCATGGTACTTCACAACTGTCTATAATCTCATTCCAGGGTTACACCCTCTTCTGGCCTGTTTGGGCACTAGGCATTGAAAATGGTACACAGACATAAGCAGAACACCAAAAATAAAAATTAAAATGTATTCACATAGTGTTAAGCTTTCTAGAACATAGATAGGAATGCTATGACTTCTGTGTAGTCAATCAGGCTATATAGAACAGATACTGATGAAGTAGACGGTGGTTGTTTCCAGCAAAGGAATCTTCAAAAATCCCCTTTACCTTGGGAATATAGATATTACACAGAACCTTAGGTTCTAACTTGATAACATGATTTATACATGATTTCCTGCTTTTTTAATCACTTCAAATATATTAAACAATGAGAAGTAATATATACTAATACACGCCCCTTCCCCATCCTATCATCCTACACTAGAACTTTCTGAGGAAATAAACTGAAAAGGGAGACTGTTTGCAGTACAACTCCAAAAAGAAGATCCTTCCCTAAAGTGTTTGGTCACAGTTCTTAACAGGTAGCAGCATATGATCTGGGGAAGGAATGGTGCTTGATATCAACTCTGATAACACAATTTTTCCTTGTCAATTTTTCTCTAGTATCATCTAGACTGTCACAGCCATCCTCTCCACAGTCAGGCTGCCCATCACCCACCATTCCAGCAAGTAAAGTCATTTCTCCATCACAGAAGCATAGCAAAAAGGCATTAAAGCAGGTAAGAATTGAGTGTGTTTATCAGAATAATCTCTCGAATTGAGAGCCTTATGGTGTTTCACGCTTTTACTTCTGTTGTATAATGGATAATCACGTACTAAGACCATGTTTCAAGAAAACACTACATCAACTCTTCTGTTAGTAACATTCCTTGAAATCCTTAAGATTTGAGTCTTTACAGAGTATATGTCAGCGGTCTACAAATTTGCCACTAATAAAATTTGGGTACTCTGTGTGTAACACCCATTGTAATTCTTTTTAACATGATTTTGATGATCCAGATTTTTCCCCAGTTTGCTAAGTTGTCTGTGTGTGTGCTGAATCATGAATAGGTGTTTTAAGTTTTCAGGGTGTTTTTGTATTTGTCTGGTTGTTGTTTTGGGGTTCTGGAGATGAAACCCAATGTTTGTTACACTGAACCATATTCCCAATCCTTAGGTTTTTTTTCTTTGGAATTTATTGTAATAATAAGCTAGATTTTCCCCCCCTGGACAGGGTTTCTCTGTGTATCCCTGGCTGTCCTGGAACTCACTCTGTAGACCAGGCTGGCCTCGAACTCAGAAATCTACCTGCCTCTGCCTCCCAAGTGCTGGGATTAAAGGTGTGCACCACCACCACCCAGCAAGGTAGATTTTCTTTAATACTGTTAATCTAATACATAGATTTTTCAGTATTGCACTAATTGCAAGTATGGAATATACGCTATATGTTCATTCTTTACATACATTGTTTTCTTTTTCCTTCCTCCCTCCTTCCCTCCCTCCCTCCCTTCCTTCCTTCCTTCCTTCCTTCCTTCCTTCCTTCCTTCCTTCCTTCCTTCCACAATTTTACCTTGTAGTCAAGTATTGTAGCACACACCTATAATCCTGTCACTTTGGAGGCTCAGTTTGAAGCCAACTTGGCCTATACAGTAGTATCTGTATTACTTTAGTTTAAATCTTGTAATATTCTTCTTGTGCAGATTTGAAATGAAAAAATTTCTACCACAATATTAACATTGTTTATTTTATTCTAGACTTGATGAGACAGTTGTAGAAATTATCTTTACTACCAAGGTTGAATAAATAATACTTTAAAAATCATTTTTCTTTCATTATATTGTTCTTTGTTGTTATATTGATTTTTCTATTTTTGAACCAGTTTTGGATATTCTTTCTAGAATACTACACTATTCCATTTCTGGACCAGTAAAATTGCTCAGCAGGTAAAGGCACTTACCCTCAAACCTGAAAACCTGCATTCACTCCTGGAACTCATGTGGTGGGAAGGGAAACTGACTCCCTGGAGTTGTTCTTGACCTCCGCACACATGCCTCCCCAGCTTCATAGTATATACAATAAATAAATGTTTAAAAAGAAGTAATATGTTCCTTTTTACCTAGCTATTGTAAATGCTGCTGTAAAATTACATAGCATTCTCTTATTTGTCTTCACTTACTTATTTTCTGTACTAATTGCCAGTTGGGCTTTTTGTTTTATTGAAATTTTCTAGAGCTGTCTTTGGATTTTTTCCTTCCTCCCTTCCTCCCTTCCTCCCTTCCTCCCTTCCTTCCTTCCTTTCCTCCCTTTCTCCCCTCCCTCTTAATGCTTTGTCTGGCACAGTAACATAGTCTGAGTACTTAGGAGGCTGAGGCAAGGGGATCCTAATTGCAAGGCAGCCTGCGTTATACAGCAAAACACTGCCTAGCAACCCTCTCCAAGAGTAAGCAAATGATTAATAAATACAAACTGACAAATAGGACTGGAGAGATGGCTCAGGGGTTATGAGTACCTCCAGAGGACCTGTGTTTAATTCCCAGCACCCACATGGCAGCTCACAACTGTCTGTAACTCCAGAGGCTCCAACATCCTCAAAAAGACATATTGGCAAAACACCAATGCACATAACATTAAAAAATAATTGAAAATAAAACCTGATAAGTAGTTAGGAAAACATTGACACTACTTTTATTCTCATACTTTAGTATTTTATATCAAAAATTGCTAAGTAGGGTGAAGTTGGCAACTCATGTACTGATGCCGTATAATAATAAAAAACAATCAAAGTATGGATGATTGAACATAGGACCTCATGCTTGATAGGCAAGTTCTCTGCCACTGAGCTATATCCACAGCCACTATAACTGTGTTAGAAAGAAATTTTACATTTTCTATTAAAATTTAAATGTACATGCACCGTGAGCATTAAACATTTTAGGACTTAGGTTGAAGAAAAATATTTGCATAAAATTTGTTAATGATAAGATGTAGTGCCAGGCAGTGATGGTGCACACCTTTACTCCCAGCACTTGGGAGGCTGAGGGATGTGAATTTCTGAGTTCGAGGCCAGCCTGGTCTACAGAGTGAGTTCCAGGACAGCCAGGGCTACACAGAGAAGAAACCTGTCTCAAAAAACCAAAAAAAAAAAAAAAAAAGAAAAGAAAGAAAGAAAGAACAAGGACTCTTAAGTAAAACATAAGTGAGATGCAGAATTGGCATTGGGTACTGGGGATGAGTAATTGTGAAGGACTGAAGGCTAGATGGGGTTATAAAGTCTTCTCTGCTCCCGGTCTTTCAGTATTTTTTTTTCTGGGCTCCCTGATACTTGTCACTGGTAGTCGTGATGACTGATCCAAGGAACTAGCAGGAGTAAAATAAAATACATTTTATCTACCCTGAGTACTTGTATGAGATGTTCTTATGTAACATACTTCTGTGTTTAACGAACATTCACAATAAAAATATTTTTAAATCCTAAGGCCCAATGAGATGACTCACTGGATAAAGATGTCTGTACTGCCCAGCCCAGTGACCTGAGTTCTATCCTGGGGAGTCTCCTGATAAACCAGAACACCAGCCCCAGAACACCATCTCCAATAAGCTAACCTCTGACATGCACACACATGCTCCCATGTGTACTCTTAAATAAGGTTTAATACAGATAATAGTGCTATTTATAAAGTATATAATAATAGTGTTAATATTTAGGAAAGATGTGAATATGAAAAAGAATAAAGAAGTTTAATAAAGATAATTGACTATAATTATCCTTGAGGATTATATGCCAAAACTTAAGTGATAATCAAAAAAGAATTTAACTTTGAGTTTGAATTGAAATTTTTAAATTTATTTCTTGCTTTTTATTAATAATTAGAACTCATAATTTTAATATTTTGAGATACTATGTGACCTGAAACTCAGATCCTCCTGCTTCTACCTCCTAAAGATTATGCTGAAGGCTGTGTGCCACCACTCCTGGCTCAGAACCCATAAACATTTTAAGTCATGTGAGTATTTAAACCAAAAGTTATTTGAAGAGCTATTTACAAGATGATACATGGTCACACATGAGTTGTCATGGGAGTGCTGAGAGTCAAACCTTTGTTCTCTGAGAGAGCAGTAAGTCCTTGTAACTGCTGAGCCATCTCTCCAGCCCTTGATTACATGCATGTGTATATGTAGGTATGTATGTGTATGTATGTATACATGCTTTAATGTCTAAGGAAACACAAAGATGGGTGTATGTTCATGTCTTCACACTTTATATCCTGAAAGTTTGATAAGTTAGTCACAGCCATAAATTTCTAAGATTTGAAGAAGGGAATTTTTTTTTGTTGTTGTTGTACTGTTTGGTTCTATTTGTGTGTGCATGTCTGTCTATATATATGTATATATCTTTGCACACACGTGGAGGTCAGAGAACAACTTTTGTGAGTCATTTCTCTTCTTCCTCTGTGTGAGTCCTAGGGATCAAACTCTGGGATCTAGGTTTGAAGAGGGATACTTTTATCCACTGAGCCATCTCACAGGCCTTCTTTCTTTTAAAATATTTATTCTAAATAATATCAAGTTAACTCTATTAAGAACCTTGTAGAAGTAAAATTGACATAAAATAACCAGAAGATAAGTTACCTTTGACAAGTCTCATTGCTTTTGCCCAAGGTAATTTAATACAAATATTTGCCTCTTTCCATACAATCAAGTTAAATCAAGCTGTTATTTGTGGATGGCTTACAAGTCTTTTTTCAGATATGATAAAGTACGAGTGCAGTTTTCTAATTAGAAGATTGTAAATTCCTCGCCTTTTTTTCCCCTCAATTTTTTAAGTTTGGAAAAAATATTCTAGTGATTTTTCCTTGTATCTCTATATATATAAAGCAATAATCTTGGCCTCCCCTCAAATTACCTAAACTCTAAAAAGTCATTTAGGCCTTGCCAGTTTTGTTTAATTTAAGCTTTTGTTTGCACTGAGTAGATTTCAGAATAAGTTCTCACCATTTGAATGACGCAGTTTGCTTGTTGTTCACTGTTGGTTTTTATTTTGTAGGCCCTGAAGCAACAACAACAGAAGAAACAGCAGCAGCAACGCAGGCCAAGCATGTCCGTCTCCAATCAGCACCTGTCTCTCACGACTGTCAGAGCAGCCAGTGACTCTGTACCTGCCAAACCTGGTAGGCAGACTCAGCATTCACCTTATCCAATGGAATTGTTTTTTTCCCAGCATATTTTTACTTTTGATATTGTAAATTTTTATACTGAATTGTTCATTTTTAAATTTGCTATATTTATTAGCATAATCTTTCTGGTGCCACAGAACTGATACAAAATCCTAGGATAAATAGAAAATACTTTTATATAAAATTACCATGTACTTAATTCAAAGTATAGCAGTGAAATTTGGGTATAAGAAGAAAATTAATGAGAAACCTCTGATGTATCAACCCTGATTACATTTGGAAGCCTAAATTTATTACACACACACTCCTTCTTTTCAGGTCAAAGAGAACTCTTTGTCTATGTGTGTACATCTAGGCAGGTAGGTGTACATGCAGGTTGAGGTCATAGGATGGCCTGAGATGTCATTCCCCTGTACCATCCAACTTCTGATGGTTTTGTTTTGTACAGGATCTCTGATTGGCCTGGAGCTTATGGTTTAGTCTAAACTGGCTGACCAACTAACCTCTGGAATGCTCCTATCTCCACTTCCCAATAGTGGGATTACAAGTGTGCTGTAATATGGTTCTTTATGTGGTTTTTGAGGCTCAAACTTATTCAATAAGAACTTTTTGAACTTAGTGAAGTCCTTATCACTGCCCTCAATTAAAATATGAAAATGGAACTAGAAGGCTCATTCATTAAGAATATGTACTCCTCTTGCACAGGGCTTGGTATTAATGCCTGCCACCTACATGGTGGCTCACAGACACTTTTAACTCTAGTTCAAGGGGATCTGATTCCATTGTTTGGTATCTGTGGACACTGCGGACACTGCACATACAAGTAAGGCAATAATATACATGGAGGCAAAACATTCATAAACATCAAATCAAAATAAACTTAAGGCTAAAATGTGAAAAATTGTATAGGCTTTCTAAAATACATACACTTAATTTTCCATTGGACATGTTACATGAGTTTTGGGTATTGTTGCTTGTTTTGTGATTAGTTGTTTGGCCACACGAGACTTTGTTTGTATTATAAAATTTAATTAAAACATTTCTGTGGAATTCCATAAAAATCAAAGATCTGAGTCTTTCAGCACTTTTCATTTTTGCTAGAGCAGATATTTACCATTGGAGATAAATAATGTAAGAAGATATAGGGGTTTTATTTTACAAATCAGTCAAGAGGCCTACATTTTTTCAATCATAACTCCTATAATTATGGAATAATAGTTTGATTTTTTTTTAATTATTAGATTTATTGGGGTCTGGGAGCAAATGTATGTGGATGTCTGAGGCTGGCTTGTGGGAGTCTCTACCATGCAGGGGCCCCAGATCAACTCAGGTTGTTGGTTTGGTAGCAGCCTGTCTTGCTCACCCTCGATGGGCTTTTGTATATGAACCTCTTTCACCAGTCTTCATGTATTTTTCCCCCTAGCCCTATGGGAAGGAAAGCAATCTGATGGACAGTCAAGCAGTCCCCAGAACTCAAATTCCAGCTTTTCTTCCTCAGTGAAAGTGGAAAGTTCTCTGCTAGGCTTGGGGAAGAAGTCTTTCCAGAGGTCTGACAGACTCCACACAAGTAAGTTAGTTTACAAGGACTTCATTTTTTGGTGCAAGAGTGTGTTCACAGTATATTTGAAATCATTAGCCACTGGCTTGAGTTATTGTATAATTTTAATTTTATTTTAAAAAGTCAGACATATTTCTTTCCTTTTGTTTTCTTTTGTTTTGGTTTGGATTGGTTTGATTTGGAAGAAGGTCTCACTATAAAGCCCTAGCTGTTGCTGGAATTTGTTCTGTAGATGAGGCTGGCCTTGAACTCATAGAGATCCACTGATCTTTTCCTCTCAAAGTGCTGGGACTAAAGGTGTGCACCACTATTCCTGGGCTAGACTTATTTTTTTAAAACATTATCTTGATATTTTTAAAAATGTCTTTGATATAATTTCTTTGGCGTTTTATTTTGTTTTCTTGGTTTGTTTCATACGGAGCAATAGTATCCCACAGCTTTAAATGTGCTAGGGACTTGCTGTACCACTGAGCTGTACATCTTTAATCCCCAGCTTGTCAAATTTACTTGTTGCCTTTTTTTTAAAGACAGTGTCTCACTAAGACAGTGTGAGATACTCGAGGACTGGGTTTTAAGTTATACTCTCCCTGCTTCAGCCTCACAAGTGATGATATAATAGGAAACACCACCACTTTCAGATTTGATAATTGCTTTTCAGAGATAAAAAGAAACACAGATAGAATGGATTTAATGCCATTTCTCATTATTAATTTTATCCTTTTATCTTTGAACTCTTAGTTGTCTCATATTCTTCCATTCATCCCTTATCAAACTGTTTCACAGAAAGATCTGTTATCAGTCATTTTTTGGTTTACTTTTCTTTGTACCAATAGGTCCTACATCGTTTTGTTTCTATAGATAAAAAAAATAGAAGGGATTATAATTAAATATTGTAAATTGAACTCCTTGGAAGTCCCATTAAAATGAGAATACGGACAAAATAATTTAATCAGTTTGATTGAAGAAAACAAGGAGACAGCCAAATGGGCAGGTGTCAACAAAGGTTGAAAGATGAAAATTGGATGAAGCTGAAAAGGAATTGTCATAAATAAGCCAACTATGGCTACAGACCACGAAAAGGGCTCAAGAACTGGAAAGATGGATGACAGAAAAGAAAGGTGAGGCATTGCCTGGCAGTGGTGGCGCACTCCTTTAATCTCAGCACTTGGGAGGCAGAAGCAGGTAGATTTCTGAGTTCGAGGCCAGCCTGGTCTGCAGAGTGAGTTCCAGGACAGCCAGAGATATACAGAGAAACTCTCTCCAAAAAAAAAAAAAAAAGAAAGGAAGGAAGATGAGGCATATGGTTGAAAAAAGAATTAAAAATGAATGAAAGCATTTTGATGTTTTACTCTAAGTAGAAAATAGTTTATTATGTGTTGAAGTTGAATGAAACACCTTTAGATTTAGGAATATCACATTGAGCTGCAGACCAGTGATGTGGCATTGTGTAGTTTGTTCATTCTTGTGACAAGACACATGAGCAACTTAAGGATGTTAAGAGGTTTATTTTGGTTCACAGACTGGAGGTAACAAGTAGAAGAAGCAAAGCAGTGGCGCCAGTTCTTGTATGTGACAGTGGAACTAGACTGGTCATGTCACTTACTTGTGGTCAGTCATTATCAGACTATACCTCAAAGGTCTGTCCCAGTAATCACCTCTGCCTACCATGCCCATCTCCCCAAGCAGTGCCACTAGCTGGAACCAAGGTGGCAGGAGCTTGTCATCAGCTTTTCACGTTCATATCTTCATAGGCACCATCCTGAAATTTGAGCAGTTAGTCAAATACAAATATGTAAATGCTATTTTTCTGCTTGGCTTCCATAATACTTAGTAGATTAGTTGATCAGTAAAGAATAGGGAAGATCAGAAGATAATTGTACAGGCACATTTACAAGTTCCCAGATCTTTTGAAACTATTAGATTCTTTAAACTACCCATATAATCCTAGTTCTTTCTTGTAGGCTGAGGTAGAAGTATTACATGTTATACTGTTATACTGTGTTAACACACTGAGATCTTGCTTAAAAGTATCTTTTCTCCCTCATCCCCCCTCTTGACAATCTTTACCTCTTTCGTTCTACTTATTGTCATTTGGCTTGAAAAGATGTTTTTAAAATTTTTAAAACTTACTTCCTTGTCTGAAAAAAGATTTTGCACTTATTTTTCCATCTATATAACGATTTCTGAACTTTGAGCTGGCCAAATGTCATAGGTTCTGATTCTCTACCTGAGTGGAGTAGTGATAAAAAACGGACAGAAACTTGGCTTTTCTGGTTTCAATTTGTTACATTAATTAATTGTGTAGTTTGAGCACATTTATGTATCTGTACAGTGGATACTAATAATTACCGAGTGCTATGTGCAGAGCAGTATGTGCCTGTGATCCTAGCTATGCAGAAGCGGTGGTGGCGCACGCCTTTAATCCCAGCACTTGGGAGGCAGAGGCAGGTGGGTTTCTGAGTTCGAGGCCAGCCTGGTCTACAGAGTGAGTTCCAGGACAGCCAGGCCTATACAGAGAAACCCTGTCTCGAAAAAAAACAAAAACAAAAAAAAAAACAAAAATAAAAAATATATATATAAAGTAATAATAGTAAGCATTATTTGCTTCATGGAGCTTTGTGAAAAGCAAGTTAATATAATTGTTCAGAAATAACTCTGCTGCTGGTGTTACTGTGGTTATTGTTAATATTGGTATTTTTTGAAATAGCAGAGACATGGTCTTTTAGGCTTAACAGTATTGAAGTCCTACTTGTTCAGTGAATTTTGAGTTCATTGAATCAAGGTTATTAATCTAAAATAATGAACCCTGTGACTGGAGTGACAGCTCAGGAGTTTACAACCTGTACTGCTCTTTCAGAGGTTGGTTCCCAGCACATCTCAAGGCTCTCAACCACCTTAAACTCCAGCTCTTAATTCTCTCCTCAGGCACTGCAGTAATATGCACACACCTATATACAATCACATACATTTTACATTTTAAATTAAAGCATTGTTTTATAAGTGTCCCTTTTTTGGTAAGCTTAGTTACTGATTGTGTAAGATATGGTTTTTTTTTTGAACCTAAGGAAAAACTCTGCATTTGGGTCCTTTATTTCTTTTATACACTAGGCCATGAATTCGTATGGAATGGGCTCCAGCAGCTCGGGCTCTTTCCATTAGTCCTCACAAAGTGTGCTTCTCTGGGTGGTGCAGGCTGGCGCTTCAGCTGAACCCAGGTGCCCTTCTCTTTGGCTTCCTTTTTCTTCTGATCGTTCTCCTTCCCCCGCTTCAGGAAGCTGTCTCTGCTCTTTGAGTGTTTAATGTGCTCAACCCGCACATTGATCCTCTTGGCCAGAATCTTGCCCTTAACCTGCTTGTTTACAATGATGCCCACGGCATGCTGGGTGACATTGTAGACTCTTTTGGTTTTGCCGTGGTAACACTTATGGGGCATTCCTTTTTGAACAGTACCCATTCCCTTGATGTCTACAATATCACCCTTCTTATAGATTCGCACGTATGTGGCCAAAGGAACAACTCCATGTTTCCTAAAAGGCCTAGAGAACATACACCGAGTGCCTCTCCTCTTTCCCTTTGTGTTCGTCATTTTGGCGAGTTAACTGGAAGATGGCTGTCGAGGCCGAAAAGCAAGATATGTTAAAATATGATTTTTATGGGGATTTCTCTGTCTCACACAAACACATGATTTCTTTAAGACAAGGTCTTTATATGTGCTTAAAAGCTAGCAGTAGATGATTTTTCCCCTTGTTCCAATCCTCACCAGCATGGACTGTCACTTATTTTATTAATCTTAGTCATTCTGACAGGTCTAAGATGGAGTTTCAAGGGTTTGAATTACATTTCCCTGATGGCTAAGGATGGTAAACATATAAGTGTTTCTCAGCCATTTGAATTTCCTCTTTAAAGAATTCTTTGTTTAGTCGGGCGGTGGTGGCACACGCCTTTAATCCCAGCACTTGGGAGGCAGAGGCAGGCGGATTTCTGAGTTCGAGGCTAGCTTGGTCTACAGAGTGAGTTCCAGGACAGCCAGGGCTACACAGAGAAACCCTGTCTCAGAAGGAAAAAAAAAAAAAAAAAGAATTCTTTGTTTAGATTTGTGCCTCATTTAATTTTTCAATTGGGCTATTTGTATTTTTGAAATCAAGGTTTTTGAGTATATTTTGGATATAGTCCTTTATTGGATATATACTTGGTAAAAATCTTTTCCTGATTGGTAGGCTGCTGCTTTGTCAGAATGATGGTGGCCTTTGCCATGCAGAAGCTTTTTATTTTCATGAAATCGTATTTATTAATTATTCTTCTTGCCTTTGCCTTTAGTGTTCTGTTTGGGAAGTCTTTTCCTATGCTAAGTATTTCAAGGCTATTCCCTACCTTCTCTTCAATCGAGTTTAATGTACCTGGTTTTATGTTGAGGTCTTTGATCCATTTGGAGTTGAGTTGTGTACAGCTTGATAGATGTGGGCCTACTTGGATTCTTCTACAAGCAGATATTGTTTGACCAAAAATATTTGTTGTAGATGCTGTCTTCTAGTGTTTTTTTTTTTCTGGCCTCTTTATAAAAAAATCCAGTGTCTATAATTATGTGGATTTATGTTCTGGTCTTCAAGTCTATTCCATTAATCATCTTGTCTGTTTTTATGCTGATTGATAATGCTGGTTTTATTCAGAACCCATCAGACCTTCCGAAGTTTTTATTGTTCAGGATTGTTTTAACAATCCTAGGTTTTTGTGCTTTCATATAAAGCTCTTCAAGATCTATGAAGAATTGTATTGGAAGTTTGATGAGAATTACATTGAATCTGTAGGTTGCTTTTGGTGAGATACCTATCTTACTATGTTGGTTTTACCAATCCATGAGCATGGGAGATTATTTTTTCATCTTCTGTTTTCTTTTTTTTTCTTCAAAGACTTCAAGTTTTTAATTATACAAGTCTTTTTATTGTTATTTGATATCAATTACATTTATTTTATTATTGATTTAGGTGCTTGTATCTATTAATATACACACTTCTGCTTTCAGTTTTTACGTTTGTAGTTTTTATAGTTAGCTTTGTTCTAAATTCACTGCTATTATCATTTCTGTTCTGTATATTTCAATAAGATTTTACTGTGTAGCCAGTGCTACCTGACTTCAACCTCCCTGTCCTCCTGTCTTAGATTGTTTGTGAACCCAACTGCTTGCTGTCCGTCTGTCTGTCTGTCTGTCCGCCTGCCTATCTATCTATCTATCTATCTATCTATCTATCTATCTAAATGTAGCTGAGTCACTAACCTTAAATAGTCCTGAAATCTCTCTTTGCCTTCCAGCCATAAGATTAATAGTTGCACACCATCATGCTTTTGTTGTCCTTTGTGTGTGTGTGTGTGTGTGTGTGTGTGTGTGTGTGTGTGTGTGTGGAGCACACGGGAAATAGGAGTTCTCAGACTCATATCACCCTGCCTCTGTCTCACTAGGATTTTGGGTATGCCCTCCTTGTGTAGACCCCATTCCCACAGTGCTGGAAGTAGAATCCAGAGCTTTGCACATGCAGACAAGCACTGAGTAAATCCCCAGTCCCTTGTCTTAAGTTTGGTTCACACAAAGATTACTTTTTCTACTTGGAATATATTTTACTTTTAATTCTTTAGATATTTTCTTGTTTCTAGTAATTTGTTTTCCTGTTTCTAGTAATTTAAGAGAATGGGAAAAGGGCAAGATTTAAGGAAGTTAGTTGCATATCTTTTAAAACTGGAACTTACTTTTTAGAGCTGGAGAGATGACTCAGCATTTAAGAGCACTGCCTGCTTTTCCAGAGGACCCAAGTTCAATTCCCAGCACCCACATAGCCGCTCACAATTGTCTGTAACTCTAGTTTTAAGGGATTGGCACCCTCACACAGACTGCAAGCAGAACTCCAATGTGCATAAAACTAAATAAATATTTTTTAAAAAAATTATTCCTTTAAATGTTGCCCTTTCCCATTCTCTTAAATCAATCTCTTTCTCTGTTTCTGTTTCTCTCCCTCCTTCCCTCCCCCCCACTCGTGTGTGTGTGTGTCTGTGTGTCTGTGTGTGTCTGTGTGTGTTTGTAGTGTTGTGTTACATGGAGGGTGTGCACCATACCATTTGTCTTTCCCCATCATTGTCTGTCTTATTCTCTTGAGACAGGGTATTTCACCAAGTCTGGAGTTGATAGTTTTTAGCCAGTCTGGCTGACCAGCAGACCTCCTCCGGGAACCCTCCTATTTCTGTCTCTCTCTGCTATCTCACCCCTCCACCACATGCACCATCTTTGGGGTTACATGCATATGTGTACAAACCTGACTTTTCATGTCAATGCTATAGATCTGAACTTAGGTCATCATGTTTGCATAAGTCGTCTTATCTCGTGATCCATCTTTTTCCAGCCCCAAATTTTCAATTCTTGACCTCTAGTTAGGAATATGTTAAGGCTTCTCATTCTATTTTTTTCTTTTTTCCTTAAAATTCTCAAAATAATCTGCTTTACTCTGGTTAATTTCTTGACTATATATTTTATACCAGATTACTTGTTTAATATCATTTGTAGTATCATTTTAAGTATTTTTTTTGAGCACTTAATACATTCATAAATAACACCCAACTCTGATTCCCTGGCAACATTCTCACCCAACTTCAAGTCCTGTCTTAAAAATATAACTCACTGAGTTCAAATAGTATAGCAGCTATGAGATCAAAACTGAAACTTGTCATGTGCAGATGAGAGTGTTTACCTCAGTCCAACAAAAATCTTGTCCTTACAGCCTTTCTGCCCTGTCTCTCACAATGATTCTTGAGCCTTATCAAGAGGGGGACTTTTTGATGGTGTCTGTTTTGAGACAGGTTTTCTACAAGTGATTTTTTTTTTTTTTTAAGATTATGCTATAAATTTCAGTTCCAGAACTTCTTAAAAGGTTTTGGTCTTGCTGTTTCCAGCATATTTCACATTCATTTATTGCTTTGTTCACCTTTTTCATAGAAACTATTTTTTACATTAAGTTACCTTTTAATTTTCCTAAAATTGTATTGCAAGATTTAAATTTATATAATGAAAACTAATGAAAGATGGAAGATATAAAAATAAGAGTCAGTGGAAATATTAAAAATTATAAAAATGTGTAAAAACAAAGCACCAGAATTTTAAAATTAGTATTATTAATCTTTGTGTACTCAAATATGTTTATCTTGTTGCTGCTATAAAGCAAAAATGCAGATCATGCTAGACTGGAACTCAAAGCCCAGGGTAGCTTTGAACTCTAGTTCTTTCTGCCTCTGCCTAAGGATTGCAAATATATACCATTACATCTGGGTTGGATTTTCTATTTAAAAATGTTTAGGAGTAATAGGGGTGAGGAGGGA